AGTTAGTTGGGTTATCATCATTACACTCCGGATATGTCCATAGGTGCTCAGATCCTCCCCTCAGTATAAACCCCAACGTCCATTGGCTAATAGTATCAGTTCTGTGTTGATTAACAAGTCTTCTGCTGTGTCCGGTGTGCGTCTTGTTTTTCTTTTGGCTATGCCGATCTAAATTCCGAGTCTGCCATTCTGGCGAGTGATGTAGATTCACTGCCACCAAAGTCCTCTACCCTTCCCATTTCTCTGAAGGTATTAATAATAGCAGCATGATCTATAGGCTGACCCTCGGTAGTAATAGCGGATCCAGCCAACCTATCAGCTGTTTCATTTCCATCGACGCCTGCGTATCCCGTAACAAAAATAAAGGTGATTCCACGCACAGTGGACTTCTGTAATGATTCAAGCCATTGTCTTCTCACCGAACCTTCCTGAACCCTCCAGATCATACTCATTAAATCACTGTGTATACATACGCGGGTGTTCAGAATGATCTGTTACTGTCGAGCGGGAGATGGTGGAGCCAGGACAGGCACGCGTTATTTTTCCTTCCCTGTAACCAAATTTTGATATACTTAAATGCTGCTTCGCTGCCTAACTTTCTCTTTTAAGAACTTTGCAAAATTGTTTTTAACTATGAGTGATATATATATATCTCTGTACGACGCATCTTCTTAACTTAAATACCTACAATTGGATTAAATAAACTAATAATGACATCTTTTTGGGTGTCGAGTTTGTTATTTGTAAGGGGCCGCTGTGGTTATTTTGAGGTAAAAAGTTCCAAAACTCGATATGGTAGTTAAAGCTGTCGATGTTTATATTGCCTAATGTGTCATTCTGTCTGTTTTCTTCTCTCTGTGAGTGCTTAAAAACATATTGTCTATCTGTTTTCTTCTCTCTGTGAGTGCTTAAAAACACATTGTCTATCTGTTTGTTGCGTAAACGTGAAAATAAGTAAACTGATGTGTTCATTACACGCCAATGGCGCATCGGGATATGAGGTTAGACTTATAGACAATGATGGGATATGTGGTCAACATTATGTCGGCCGTCTTTACTTCCCAGGATTTTACCTAGTACAAATTTATGGCTAGGTCGACCTGTGAGCCAAGGTTATGGCTGATACATTTCTGGCTCCGTGTGGATTTGAACCCACGACCTTCGGAGCCACAACCGAGCGTATAGCCGCTACACTATGGCGGCTTCCATGTTTGTTATATACTTCTTCTTCTTCAGCATTCCGAACCCTTGAGGTTCATTGCTGTAGATATCACCTGCCTCCATTCATCTCTCTGGTTTGCTTTCTCTTTCCAGTTGATGACATCAAGTGTTTGCAGGTCTGTCGATATTATCTCTCCATCGTCTTTTTGGTCTCCCTCCTGGTCTACGACCATTCATCTCCCGGGTGTATACAGTTTTTACTTCTCTGTCATCTGACATGCTTTCAATATGTCCCAACCATTTCAGTCTATTAGCTCTTATGATGCCAGTGATCAGTGGTGATTTAAACAGATTATGAATTTTGTTGTTGCTTCTCACTCTCTATTCCCCGCTGTTTGCATCTTTGATGGGTCCAAAGATTCGTCGTAAGACTGTTTCCAAAAACCTGTAATAAGGATTCATTTCTTTTAGTTGCGCTGCATGTTTCAGAGCCATATAACACGACTGGTTTCATCAATGTTTTATATATTTTGTTCTTGGTGTTGCGAGGCATACACTTTGACATGTTGAAGGGTATAGTATATTTTATTTTCAGATTGTATTCTAGATTGTATTCTAGATTGTTTGTCTTCTCTCAGCATATTGGAGCATTTGAAGTTTGCACGCAAATACTTATGTTTCTCATATTATCGACTTGTATGTGGCCGCAGTTTATATTCCTTTCACAAGCTAGTTATTATCATGTATTCTGTCTTATCTTGATTGATGACTAGTTCCATTTTCTGAGCAGATTCTTTTAAGACAGTCAGTGTTTTAACTAGTTCATTTTCTCCAACGATATCAATGTCATCAGCATATCCAAGTATTCTTGTAGTTTCTCCTATAGTACACTCTTGTTTCAATTTACTTATAATTTTCTCCATGGCCAAGTTGAAAAGAGGTGGGGACAGAGCATCACCTTGCTTTAAACCAGATGTTATTCTAAAAGGGTCTGACTTTCTGCCTTTATATATTATTATATTACAAGTGTCTTCCATACATAGTTGGGTCATGCTGATGAACTTTTTTTTTTTGGGTATTCCAAAATCCTTCATAGCATTCCAAAAACTGTTTCTATGCACACTATCATACGCCTTTTTAAAATCCACAAAAACTTTAAGTGCATCTTTTATTTATATTCCGAATTTTGCTCTGCTATTTTCTGTAAAAGGAATATCAGATCTATTGTTGATCTGCTCTGTCGGAAACCCGCTTGGTAATCTCCCAATATGTCTTGGACTTATGGTTTTAGCCTGGTCAGCAGTACCGCCGATAGTATCTTACAGCTTGTAGATAACAGTGATATTCCTCTATAATGTTCACACTTATACTTGTCTCCTTTATTAAAAATGCGTATTAATAAAGACACTTTCTATTCATGGGGTAATTTCTCTGTATTCCAAATTAGTTTTATTAATTCATATATCTTTACATGTTATGCATGATCACTTATTTTTCTAAGCTCAGTTGCGATTCCATAAGCATCAGTTGCTTTATCATTTTTAAGCCGTGTTATGATATTCAGTACTTCTTCAAAATCAGGCTCTTCAATATTTATGTTCACATATAAATATATATTCCTGAGTATTAGGTGGGGTTTCACATTTTAACAATTCCCCAAAGTATTCCTTCCGTCTGTTACATATTTCCTCATTGTTAGTGATCGTGTTCCCATTGTGATCTTTAAAACTATAAATGTTTTGTTGATGCCCTCGTTTTACAGTCTTTAGTTCTTTAAAAAACTTTCTGGATTCGTTGCTCTGATGGTTAGCTTCCATATTCATGACAATGTTGTTCATTTATTCTCGCGTTTGGTGCCTAACTACTTTTTTTTTTAGCTTCTTTACATTCTGTTCTATATCTTTCTTCATTTCGTATGTTATTTGTATCATAAAGCCAAATCTGCCTAGCATGTTTGTTCTTACTGACTGCTTCTTCACATTTTGATTCGAACCATTTGTTTTTTCTGTTTATGGTGGACACACCAAGATATTATTCTGCAGTGGTTTTAATTACATTGTTAATATCCATCCAGGTTTGGTCAACGTCTTCCTCTGACAAAATTTGTAACATTTCAGTTTTATGTATTAATTCATATGCACATTTCTCTGATATCGATGTTTCTTGTAATCTTTCTCTATTGTACTCTGAATGTGATCTTTGTAACTTGGTGTAGAAGGATCAGTTTAACTTGATTTTTGATTTTGCACCAACCAGATAGTGGTCACTTTGACACTCAGCTCCTCTGTAGCTTTTAATTTGTATGTTTGATGTATTTCTTTTATTTATTAAAATGTGATGTATCTGATTATAAGTTATCCTGTCACATCGATTAGCAGGTTTGTTTATGTATATCTTTTCTTTGAAATTTGGTGCTGCTTATCTGTAGTCATTTCCCTAAGGCAAGATGGATTTATCCCCAATATTTATCATTTGAATTACTGTTTAGGCATTCCATGCCTGTTACATTTTTTTAGGTGTTTTCTCTTCCTATTTTTGCATTGAAATCTCCTAATACAATCAATATGTATCGTGTTTTAGATTCATCTATGATATTCTCAAGGAGATCATAGAAGTCTTTTTTTTTAATATCATCTTCTTTATCTTCAATGAGAACATGCACATTAATCGTCGTGATATTTTTCCATTTTCCTTTTATTCGTAACTTACTGATCCTATCAGTAACAGCTTCAAAATTTATAATGATTTCCCACAACTTTTTCTTGATAACAAATCCTGTCCTTAGTTCATGTCTGTTTTGAGTGTTTCTTCCTTACACTATGATCATTCCATGTTCCTCTATGCTACTCTGTCCTGGCCATCTTATTTCTTGAATTTCTGTTATATCCATTCTGTATTTTGATAACTCATGGGTCAGTATTTCAGCTGCTCCAGCTCTATAAAGGTTCGTACATTCCATGTTACAAATCTTAAAAGTCTTTTAACGTTCTAGGTTCATTGTCCGTTTAAATCCATCCGAAATCAGGACTTAGATCTGTTTAGTGACGAGATAAAGTTTTACGAAGGTAGAGGTGTCAGCCCACGCTTCAACCCCCAACCTGGAGCACCAGGGTGTCTCTCTTTGTCTGTTCACTACCCTTCGACATTTCCGGCTTGGGAGGCCCTTATGGTAGCTACGCTACCGCCGGCATAGCTCTCGGGGTCATTGAGAAACACAAACTCCCCCACCACGGCAAGGTGGAGACACCTTCAGAAGTTTGTTATATACTGTTGAGAGAAAAAAAAGTGCAAGCGGGACAGGAATGATGCTGAGATCGAGATGGATTCGTGTGAGCAGATTCAAACCATGTTGGACCATAATCCATGTACCGTTTTTCATGGAGTGGGAAATCAAGAAAGGAATAAGGATAAAGGAGAGATTGATCGCAGACAGGATATGAGCTGAACGTCTGAGTAGAAGCATGATAAATGCAAGCGATGGCAACATTGGTCCTGAAATGCCGTGCTGGAATTGTGGAAGAGTTCTTAAAACAAGGGGTCTTGCTAGTCAAACTCTCCATTACCATGGGCTAGGGGTCCCGTGTCTCCTTATAACACATTGTAACACTACCGTTGGAAACACAGCAAGATGCCAGTGAACCAAGTCAGTAAACTACATTGCTAACGACTAAATTTAGGTAGTCAGACAGATGGTGCAGCCATTGAGAGGTAAAGTGCTCAAACAACTTCAGTATACGTTTCTTCTAGCCTGACGCTAGACTAAGATTTGTTGCATTCTTTTTTTCAGGTCCACCTGTTGATTAAATGTGTGAGAAGAACGACCGCCCTACTTTTAGAGAATGGCGAGCAGTTGCAGCCTACTTGTAGCTATCACACTGAACTGGTACTGCTTGCACAGTGGAGCTGCGCAATCAGATTGTACAAGAGGAGAAATGCTCCATACTACAAGAGAAGGATTAGCTGAATGTATTCTGTGTAGAGATGGAACTTATATGGAAGAAGAAATTCACTCCTACGCGGCATGTAAGTCTTGTACGTTTATAGAAGATCCCGATGTGGAAGTGTTTGTCAGACGTTGCAATAAAACCCACGATTCTGTGATACTCTGTAAAAGTGGATTCTACCGGCGTAGAGCCAGGAATGACAGACAGAAAGACAGGTGTGACGAGTGCACTCACTGTCCACATCCCACCAGAGCATGTCAGGGGTACCAGGATACTGTCTGCTGTCATCCCAACCAAGATGCTGTAATGACCTCTAGTGGCGTGTTTGTCTGTGAGGAGAGACCAGTTGTCTGCGAACCCGGACAGTTCTTTAGTACATCCACAGAAGAGTGCTTTCCTTGTCCAGCTGGGACTTTCATGTCTGCACACACCCACACATACAAGGAATGTTTAAAGTGTGAACAACTATCTGAGAACAATGCCAACCATGCGATCATCACTATACCCTGCAGTAGAACTGCCCCCACTTTGTTTGGCTGTGAGGATGGCTACTTCAGGGATCCCACACAAGAGTCTTCACAGAAGGAAGTTTCATGTACCCCGTGTCGAAGCTGTGACAGGAGTCTAGTAGACTGTGGCATGTTCCACGACGCCGTCTGTGATGACAAGGAGGAGACAACTGCCGCAATCGTTCCAACATCAGGTTTGTTCTTCTAGTGCATAAATACATTTCTCACCAAAATGGGAAAAGTAAAGGTCTATTTTCCACGCCTTTAGACGTATAGGGCATATAGGGCTAGACCTATATTTCTATAGACAAGTCGGCACAAGATGCGTGATGTGGTCATCGCCTTTACTTCCTTGGACTGCACCCGGTACCCACTCAAGGCTGGGTCATTTTTGAAAAAAAGTCAGGCTCCGCCAGGGAGCAAACCCACGACCTTCCGATCCGCAGGCGAGCTTCTAGCCACGGCGACTCCCACCATAATAGGTAGCTTATCATTATCATTTTTCGGTAGCAAGTCCTTTGCTGGACAGAAAATTGCTTCTTTGTGTTGTAAACGTGTGTGTGTGTGTGTGTGTGTGTATGTGTGTGTATGTGTGTGTATGTGTGTGCGTGCGTGTGTGTGTGTGTGTGTGTGTGTGTGTGTGTGTGTGTGTGTGTAGGGCGGGGACTTATAATATAACGTTCATATCCCAAGTGGTGATAGGGTAACGAAATCGTCCTTGTCCACAAACTGGTGGAGGTCAGCTGCTGTTGGGGACTGGAAGAGTCGGTGAGAGCTGACTGTTATGACTGACTGGGTATCTAAATTTCGCAGCTGAGCCGTTACAATTTAACACGACTGAATCACCAGTAGATGAGTATCTTTGGTTGAGAGGTCTTGTTTAATTTCGTCGGTGGACAATCCCCCCCCCCCCCCCCACACACACACACATTCCCAAATTCTCTGATTATATTTATCATGCATTTGGCTAGAAACCGTAACAAACATCATATTGTTACGAAATGCATATGGCCAACACTTCACTAATTCCAGTATCCCATGGAGTTTCATGGGGTCAAAATTAAAGTCATAATTAAAGTCATAATTAAATGTAGAGTAAAATTAAAAGTTACATTTAGAGTTAATGTTACAGTTTAGGCCGAGATGATCGACTTCGTCAAAACAGGTTTTTTACCATTCTATATTGCCGAGTTTTCCATCACAGAACGGCTAGCTGCCTGCCGAGAGCGACGCACAAGTCACTAAATTCAAAACTCCGGTGACGATCCCGTGAAACAAACCTGTGACCTTCAGAGCGCGGGGCAAACGGCTTGATTAGTTCACCACAGGGGCGCAGGGTGTCATCACTATCCTGTGCACACCGTCATTTTGGTCAGCCCCTGCACATGAACTGTCATGTCTTGGACGTTTATAATGACATGATCTGGTTCTGTCGTCTCTGCAAAAGGGTTTTCTTATCTACAAACAAAATCTGTAGTTCATCATTGTGTTAAACGGTTTTCTCGCAAACTTGCCCTAGTGTAAATAATGTATATATGGAACCTTTTCATTTCCTGAAACAAATTGTGATGCATTTAAATGTTGTTTAGCTATAAGTCTAACTCTCTGTTCTGTTAACGTTGCATACAGTTTTTCTTTTTTTTAATGTGTGATATATCTCTGTCGATACATAGTCTCTCTCCTATTATCCTTTTCTTTCTACACTGATACCATTGATGCTTGCTGTCAGTCAGGTGGAACTTCATTTTCTTCCCAGGTTGTATTGAACAATCTTGTAATGATGTCACTTTGATCACATGCTTGAAGGGTTTGTTATTCCACCCAAACTAGAGGATCTGATTTTAGATCTTTTCTGTACAACAGCTTCAATTTCTAATGTTAAAATGTTGATGTATTATAATACAACTCTGGAATGATGCATATCTTGCCCTGATGGAACCTATATGCAGGCACAAAGTCACAAGAACACAGAATGTGTAAAGTGTGAAGCCTTGTCTGGGAGCTCCACAAATCACGCTGCCATCTTGCAACCTTGCAGCAGAATATCGCCAACATTTTTTGGATGTGAAGAGTTCTACTTCCGGAGCCATAACACAACGTCACTGTTGGAGGAAGCACAGTGTACGCCTTGTACAACATATCTGCGGGAATTCAAAACATATCAGCTTCTCCATAATGCTGTCTGCGCTTGGAGATTGGGAGATGATGAGAACACTTCGGGAGAAGGATCAGGTCAGTAAGTGCACACAAATATTTAGAATTCGTTTTTACAGGAAGACGGCCAATATTAACTTCACCTGGTAAAGTATGCAGCTACGGTTGAATGTGGTGGAGTCGTGTGTTAGCCTTGAGAGGATTCGTTTATTTACTTCATCGTATTTTGTTACTGTTTTATGCACATTTGCCCGTGAGTTACCGGGGTTCTCACGGGAAGCACAGGCTAGTGAATCGGTAGGCTTGTAGAATATTAAGGCAATGAAACCTGTAGAATTCAAGGTGACAGTTAAATTATTCTCTTTCCCCTCCCCCCTTGTTGCCTCTCTCAGTGCACAGACAACGTTGGTGGAATGAGTCGGATGCTGGGGTTGAGGTTGGTGGGGGTGTGGAAGGTAGGGTTGGGGGGGGGGGGACGTCTGCTGTTATCAGAGTACCCCATTATTGACACATATAGACCAACTTGAGACTAGCCTCATTTACTATTTTGTGTTTTAGAGGGCATACTTTGTATCACTTCACTTTAAAATCACTTCTATTTTCAGCTGTAGCAACTAAAACTGTCTGTGTACAAAACTTACAATAAGTTACACTTTATTCTCAATAGGTACGGCCAACGATGCAGAAAACAGTGCAGAAGGAAAGATGCCGTTTAATGGCACTTTAGGCTGCGGTGAAAGAAACCAGTGTCTGAATGCAACAACAGAGCCTTATCATCATGCAACATTTGACGTTGTTACTTTAGTTGCATGTGTTACATTAATTATTATTTTAATTTCAGCTTTGTGTCATTTTCCTTCGAATACGAAACATGAAGAACAGTTCTATAAGCGCTCCCACAGGCAGAACTTAAGAAAGATATTAGAAAAACTTAGAAAAACTCATGCCCTGAGATTTTGCACCATATGGGCGATGTTGTTTGCCTCTCTCTTTATCTGTATTCTCCTCACAACCGGGCTCATTGTAGTGTCTAACGTATTTTATAATGTATTTGTTACCATGACCGTTATTGCCACTGGGGTTTTCATCATTGCGGTCATCAATGGGCATACATGTAGCCGGGGGCAAAGAAACAAGTCATGTGACGAAAAAGATGACGATGATAGTTCTAAGTTCCGAAAGGCGCATGAAACGGCCAATCCTGACACTGAAGAACAAGAAAGGGGAGAACTGGAGGTAGACACAAAATATCGAGAATAATTTAGCATAGAACCGGCTCTCTCTGCGTTTTCTCAAATCTTTCCCTCCGTGTAGAGTCATGCATTTCTGCACGTGATCCTGGCCCATTACGTAATTTCTCAAACTTCTTGGCCTAAATTCCCTTTTAATTTGAAAACAAATGTCCTATTGCGCCCCCCTCCCTACGACAACTTCCGTTCTAATTTTATCCTTATGTAATCAAACAGAAAACAGCAGTGTCATTTTGATTGTCTATTTAGCTATTTTTCTTTCCCTCGGGTAAGAGCCTGTCCTACTACTAGGCGCGTCCACCAGGTGGCGGATGGTGGAAAGGTCTCTAGATATAGAGGTTAGCCACAAATATATTGAATAAGTGGCTGTGAACCAAAACAGGTGATGGTCATTGAGAGGAGGCGAGTTAGTTGGTGGGACAGCTAACTCTAAAAAATAACTCAAAACTCTACGACATAGCCATCGGCGGGTAAGAGGCGCCAAACCTCTCCCCCATGATGCCTTGCAGTGTAAGTCTCTTTAGACAAAGGCTATTGGAGTCAAACCATATACAAACCGGCGGAAGGCAATGGGAAACCACCGCTGTACCATCCCTAGAAAATCATGCCTCAAAATAATACGTATTCAGATAACGACGTGAAAGGGGATTCCGGTGGAATCACCTCGTCCGGTAGGGAGAAACATCCTAAATATTGGTATATAGAATGTCAGAACTCTCGTACAAAACGGAAAGTTGGATAACATCAAGATGGAAATGAAGAGAATGAACATCAACATATTAGGTATTAATGAAATGCGATGGCCAGGAGCAGGGGAAAAGTATTCAGATCAGTACATAATTATTTACTCAGGTGGGAAGAAATATAGTAATGGAGTTGGTATTATTTTTTTATCTAAGGAACAACTGTGAAAGGATTTTGGACAATATCGGATAGAGTACAATCAGTAAAACTTCACGTCAGACCGTTTGACATCAACTTAGTACAGATTTATGCCCCAACAGCAGATAGTTCAGAAGAAGATATTGACACATTTTATGACGAGTTAGACATGGATGTTGATTAATGCAAAAATTGTGAAGTAACCATAGTGCTTGGAGATTTCAATGCGAAAATAAGAAGTTAGAAAGTTAGGAATAACGGGTGGCTATGGCCTAGGAGAAAATAATGTGAGAGGTGACAGATTAATTACATGGGCTAAAGCACACAGCACGATAATAGGTAACACCTCGTTTGTTTGTTTGTTTTAGTATCCAGAAGCCATGAGTTGTTAACCCTTAGGCTCGGTATTATGAATATCGCAACCTTTCGGCCTTGATTCCATTGTAAATACCGTAAATCTGGGAGAAAATGTGGCTGCTTTCTTGCCTACCCCCGGGATTGAACCCGGACCAAGAGGAGTACGTCACCCGGTCTCCGCGAAATCCGGTTTAGCCAATTCCGCTAGAGGGCCGGGCATGTAACACCTGGTTTAAACACCATCCTCGAAGATTGTGGACTTTGAAAAGTCCTGGCGATAATGTCCGCAATCAGATTTTGATTTCAAGAAGATTACGGAGCAGCTTAGTTGGAACAAAAACTAGACCAGGAGCAGACTGCTTTAGTGACCATGTTCCAGTTGTAGGAAAGATTAGAATAAAACTAAAGAACATTAAGAAAACACCACAGAACATCAAATTAAATTTAGTAATACTTAGAACGGATAAAGAAATTAAGGAACAGTACAATGTCACTGTACAAAACCGGTAAAATACAATGGAAATTATACAGACTATTGATGAACAGTGGGATATGTTGCGTGAGTCTATTCAGCAGACATCAAAAGAGACAATCCCACCAACCCATAGATTTGCAAAAAAGAAATGGATGTCAACCAAAATATGCAGTTGGTAGATGGAAAAAAAATAAACAGGAAGAAAAAGAATTATAAAGAAGAAAAATCTAGAATATAAAAAGAAATAGTGAACAAATGCAAAGTAGCTAAATAAACCTGGCTGAATCAAATGTTTACAGAGGTTGGGGAAAATCACAGGAAAGACTCACATTCCATGTACCTTCTTCTTCTTCTTCTTCTTCTTCTTCTTCTTCTTCTTCTTCTTCTTCTTCTTCTTCTTCTTCTTCTTCTTCTTCTTCTCTTCACACCTTGTACCTCATCGAAGTGTCGGGGGGAGATGTAATGTTCGTTGATGAGCACTGTCAAGAGCACTATTAAGACTGATGTTCATTTCTGTAAGGCTGTTCTTAATGCCATCACTCCATCTTTTCCGAGGTCTTCCACTCGCTTTATACCCGTTGTAACGTTTTAGTGTGGCTCGCTGTGGCAGATAGTACCAGGGCATTTTTGTTAGGTGTCCAAACCATTTCATTTGTTGTTCTTTGATGACCTGTAAGACTGGCTTTATTCCTAGCATTCGTCTGATTTCATGTTTGTATTCTGTCTTTCCTTGAAACTCCTGCTGCTCTTCTAAGGCATTTCATCTCTGTTGTTACAATTTTACGTTCATTGGAGGATGTAAGTGTCCACGTTTGGCACTGATAGCATAGTATTGGTCAAAAAATAGTTCTGATAAGATTCACTTTAGTACTCTGAGGTATCTGCTTGTGTGTCAACAGGGGAGATAGTTGACCCATTACTTGATTAGCTTTGGCACATCTGGAGCTAATTTCTCTGTCCAGTTTTCCGTCTGAAGTAAAAATTGCTCCCAAATACTTAAATTCCTCTGTTTGTCTCAGGGTGTTGTTTTTTAATTTAATTTATAAATTGTCTTTATGTCTTCCTATCATCATTGTCTCTGTCTTCGTAGTGTTTATTTTCATATTATATTCCTCCCCTTTGTTACTAATTTGATTTAGGTGGTTCTGTAGGCATTCCATATTTTCTGCTATGAGTACCTGGTCGTCGGCGAAAAGTAATTCTGTTATATCTTCTCCCTGATTAAAGTCTGTTTCGCTACATATGGCGTCCATGTTTGTTATGAAAAGAAGCGGCGATAGTACACAGCCCTGACGCACACCAGAGTTCACTATAAAAGTTCTAGACAACCCTGCCTTTGATCTTATGCAGCATTCACTACGTGTGTACAGGCTTTTGCAAATATTAATGAGATGATTGCTGATTCCTTTTTCCCCCATACATTCCCACAACATATTCCTGTCGACTCTATCGAAGGCTTTTTCTTGGTCTATGAATGTCAACAAACATGTCTTATCATGTTCTATTGCCCTCTCTGATAGTTGTCTCAATGTATAAATGGCATCTGTGCAACTTCTGTTTCGTCGAAAGCCCATCTGTGCTTCTGAAAGTTGATACTCTATCAATGGTCTCTTAGCATTCATTTTCCCAGTGTGACTGATTAGTGATATTCCTCTGTAATTAGTACATTCCCTCTTACTTCCTCTATTTTTCCACAGCGGGACAATGACAGCAGTTTGCCAATCTTATGGTGTTTCTTGATTTTCCCATGCCACCTGAAATATTCTCTTTAACCATATTGCTCCCGTTTCTCCTGCTGCCTTGATGGCCTCAGCTGGTAGATCATCAATACCTGTCGCCTTTAGTCTAGGCGCGGTTCGAATGACATATTTTACCTCATCCAATAATATACCTGGTTCTAGTTCCTCTGCTGTTAGTTCCGAGTTGTTTTTATGTTCTTCCCTGCTTTTATCTGTTTTATTGCAGCTAAGTAATGCTTCAAAGTAATTACTCCACCTTGCTAAGATTTTAGTAGGTTCTATTAAAGGTTGGCCAACTTCATCATTTATAATTTCTGTTGGGTTGTATTCTTCATTCCTGTTTCTCATGCCTTTGATTTTTTTGTAGTAGTTTTTCACTGCTGATCTTTCTTCTTCAGCCAGCTTGCTTCCAAACTTTTCCCATGAATCTCTTTTTGCTTTTCTGATAGTTCTATTTACTTCTCTTCTAATTTTCCTGTATGTTATGTAATCCTCTTCTGTTCTGCTCCTCAACCAGATGCCATAAGCTTTCTTTTTACTGCTCACAATACTTCTTATTTCTTCAGACCACCATGTTGAGAGTTTACACCCTGTTACCTTTCCTTTTAGTTCCACATATTTCTTGTGCTATTTTCATAGTGGTGTCTCTGAAATTCAACCATTCTGTATTTACCCAAGAGTGTTTTGTGGAAGCTGTTCATAATTTTCCTGTAATTTTTGCTGAAACGCTCGCCTGTTTTCTTCACACTCTAGTTCTTTCCATTTTATTATGTCACTTTTTTTTTTTTTAAGTCAAAAACTGCATTTTATAAAATGAAGAACATCTTGTGCAATATATCCTTGTCATTGAGAGTAAGAAAAAGAATTCTTGCTTGCTACATACATCCAGTTTCAACACATGGCTGTGAGTCCTTGACAATCGGTAGGCAGGCCCAACAATTTCTTGAGGCCTCAGAGATGTGATGACAGAGCAAGAGAAAGACCAACACATGGCTGTGAGTCCTTGACAATCGGTGGGCAGGCCCAACAATTTCTTGAGGCCTCAGAGATGTGATGACAGAGCAAGAGGAAGACCAACACATTCGTGGATGGCTTGGCTGACCCACAATAATATTAACCTTCTGGGGCATTTTAATGACGTCATAGGTGTTGGGCCCACACTTTCTGAAGCTACCCGGTTGTAGATTTAGCCATCTTTGTTGCGTCGTGTGTTGTTGACCACAACCGGACTCCAGCTTTTTATTGCTTTTCATAGTTTTTCTGATTGGAGTGTGATTATAACATTGTCTAGGAAATGCTGTGTTTTTTTATGCATAGCAGATATAGAAGATTTCTAAACTGTGTAGTGTCAAATCACTGCACGGGAGACAGTCGGGTTGCGTGTGTGTAGTTTAAATTGTTTTCTTGATTATATTTATCATGCATTAGGCATGCTTAGCTTCAGATTTATATGGGATACATTTTTTTTATTATTTCCTCTATGTTTGGAATACTATGAATTGTAAGGCTGGCAACTATGTACATGATATCAAGCGATCTCAGTGCACATTGTTTTCA